AAATTCAAGGAGTTTCAGACGGAAGTTGAGAAACAATTAGGTAAGAGTATTAAGGCCATTTGATCTGATTGAGGTGGCAAGTATCTATCCCAAGAGTTTAAGGTCTATTTATCGGATAATGAGATATTATCCCAATTGAGTGCACCAAGAAATCCCTAACAGAATGGTGTCTCGAAAAAAAGAAATCGAACTCTTTTAGATATGGTAAGATCAATGATGAGTTATTCCTCACTGTCAATATCCTTTTGGGGATATGCACTACAAACAGCAATTTATATCTTGAATTTGGTACCATCTAAGTCAGTTCCCAAGACACTTCTTAAATTGTGGAATGGGCGCAAGCCCAATTTATACCACATTCGGATATGGGGATGTCCAGCACATGTGCTAAAGGGAAAGACGGATAAGATGGAATCAAGACCAGATGTTTGTTTCTCTGTAGGATATCCAAAGGGAACGAGAGGTTACTACTTCTATAATCTTCTTGATAAGAAGGTATTTGTTAGCACAAATGCAACCTTCTTAGAGGATAAGTATATAGAAGAACACAAGTCTACTACTAAAATTCTATTGGAAGAGATGTTAGAACATGGTTCAAACAACTCAGTTAGCAATGACTTGGAACCTCCTACTGAACCAATGGTTGCTGATGAAGCGAGCAAGTGATGCCCACAGGACCTCATAGGCAAATAGAACTAGAGGTGGTAGAAAATGAGGCACCTATTGTTGTATCTCCACATGTCCCTTCAAATGGGGATAATGAGAATGTTGTTCCTAACCAAGGACAAGATCAAACAGTGGGAAGAGAGGAAGGACCTTTGGTCAGACTGGACAATCAGGCACCTTCAAACATTACTCATAGTGGGAGGGTTGTGAGACCACCTTCTAGGTACTTGCTCTACGAAAAATCCTATCAGGCGATCTCTACTGAGCAAGAAGAAGATCCCACTTTGTTTAAGGAAGCAATGGAGGATGTAGACTTTGAATCATGGAAATTAGCCATGAACTCAGAAATGGAATCTATGTATTCCAACAAGGTTTAGGATCTTGTAAATGCACTTAACGGGGTAAAACCTATAGGATGCAAGTGGGTCTATAAAAGGAAAAGAGGTATAGATGGGAAGGTGGAAACCTTCAAAGCAAGACTAGTGGCCAAGGGTTTTATCCAAAGAAAAGGCATTGATTATGAAGAAACCTTCTCACCGGTTGTCATGCTTAAATCTATTCGAGTCCTTTTATCCGTTGCCGCTCATTATGATTATGAGGTTTGGAAAATGGATGTCAAGACAGTATTTTTAAATGGACGTCTTGAGGAGACCATTTACATGATGCAACCTAAAGGGTTTGTGAAAGAAGGCCATGAAAGGAAAGTTTGCAAGTTGCAGAGTTTCATTTATGGACTCAAGCAAGCGTCTAGATCTTGGAATGTAAGATTTGATCAAACCATCAAGACCTATGGTTTTGAGCAAAATCTGGATGAACCTTATGTGTACAAACGAATACAAGGGAAGAAAGTAGTTTTTCTGATTCTTTATGTAGATGACATTCTACTCATTGGAAATGATGTAGGGACATTGTCATCTGTAAAGAAATGGTTGTCACAGCAATTTGATATGGAGGACTTGGGAGAAGCTAGTTATGTTTTGGGAATCCGTATCTTGCAAGATAGGAAAAACAGAAGAATTGCATTATCCCAAGCTTCATATATTGACAAAATATTGTCCAGATTTGCAATGCAGAATTCCAAAAAGGGACAACTTCCTTTTAGACATGAAATTCATCTATCTAAAGAGCACTGTCCCAAGAATGCAACAGAGATAGATAACATGAGAAAGGTTCTTTATACTTCGACTGTGGAAAGTCTCATATATGCCATGCTTTGCACTAGACCGAATATTTGTTATGTTGTGGGTATTGTTAGTCGTTATCAGTCTAATCCAGGACCAGAACATTGGGTAGCGGTAAAGCATATACTCAAGTATCTTCGAAGAACGAGAGATTATATGCTTGTTTACTCAAGACATGATCTAGATCCTATTGGATATATTGATTCTGATTTTCAATCCGATCGTGACTCTAGAAAGTCTACATCGGGATCAGTATTTACATTAGAGGTGGAGCTGTGGTATGGAGGAGTATCAAACAATCTTGTATTGCTGATTTCACCATGGAGGCAGAATATATAGCGGCTCGTGAAGCTGCTAAAGAAGCTGTATGGTTCAAGAAGTTTCTTTGGACCTTGACGTGGTACCTTTGGCAATGAGACCCATAACGCTTTATTGCGATAATAGTGGGGCAGTTGCCAATGCTAAAGAACCGATGAGTCATCAGCGTGGCAAGCATATCGAGAGAAAATATCACCTTATTAGAAAAATTGTTCATCAAGGAGACGTGACGGTTAGTAAGATTGCATCAGCAGATAATCTTGCAGATCCGTTCACTAAGACCTTACCAGCTAAGGCTTTTGATGGACATCTTAAGGGGATGGGTATTCTTGATATGCCACACATACTCTAAGAAGGGCAAGTGGGAGATTGTTAGTTTGATGCCCATTTTTCGAGTAATGTTCTGTAAAATCACATTATGAATTTACGTTCGTTTATTTGTGTGTTATAATTTGAACTGATTGTCTAAGGTTCCATGATCATAAAGGACGTCACAAATTGTATACTCGATGGATCGGGTATTGTAAGACACAATTTGTGATGTGATCAAAATTATGTTGTTCGTAATCGGTTCATAAAGTTGGACGCTTCATGTTGATAAGATTGTATTGTTCTTATTAAGATTTGTCTAGATCTTGAAATAGGAACAATAATGTGTTTCGATGCACATTGAACGGGACCACGTAGATGACTCATTTGTGACCGTTTGAAATGAGACTCTAGCTGATTATCAAATAAGTCACCTAAATTTTGAGTGAGTAATGTACCTTTGATTGCTAGTTCAAATTCTTTGAGGTACCAATAAGTGAAGTCTTAAATAGAAGATTGATCTCGGTGCTTTGGGAATCGGGCCGAAACAATTAGAGATCACATACTTACAATATTGGAATCCATTAATCATTGAGATGAGACATCGTCACTCTAAGGTATTTTCCTAGGCGAATTGAATCTGAGCTCAGTACGTCGACGATGAGATCGTTGGACTTTACATTGTGATTTGATCACAACAAATTTGCCGTATGAAACTGGGACTTAGAGGGTAATGCATGTTGAAGGGCAAAACGGTTATTTTGCCAGTTTCAACATATTGACGGTCAAATGGGAGTTGACTTGTGGAACGATAATCAGAGGATATTGTTATTGGATCATAATTTGCTTCTATAACTATCACTCGACTCGAGAGTGCAATCTTGATTTTTTGGTAGAATAAGTCGGGATTAATAGATGTATCTCAATTGGTCAAGAGTTGACCCAATTGAAAACATCTATTAGAGATTGGGTCATGTGAGTCCAATTGCAATTAGGTCTCTCTCTTGACTACAATAAAATGTGTGTGACTTAATTGACATAGTACAATAAAGTCTAATGAAATTTGTGCAATTTCCAAACCCTAATAAGTCATTATAAATATGCACATTATTGGCATATTTTGGGGGTGATTTTAGGGTTAGCCACTTTTCACATTCCTCAAAAAGGAATAACACCTAGTGGAGAACAAGTGAGAAGATCTAAGAGAGGAAGCATTTGGCTAGGCCATTAATAGCTCCTTCAAAAAGGCTATCTCCTCCCCTTTCTATATATGTGAGGATTTTATAATCCAATGATCTCAAAGTCAATCAAATCCTTGTTTACATGATTTTAATCTTCAAAGAAAAATAAATTTCCTATTGTGATTATTAAAGTTCATTAATTAACAGTTTTGGCCTTCACTTACATGATGGAATTAGGATTTGAGATAACCTGTAAATACAGGACTTGTCTTTAGATTACTTGATAGCACAAAAAAGCAGAAAAGTCGATTATAATATTCTCGTAAGATCCGGCTGTCTCGTGGTGGTGGAATTTCGAGTATATTATTTTTGTGTGAATTACCATTGGATGGTGAACATCAATGTTGTGATGAAATTGGGAAAAATAAGATTTATTATTGTCAAAAGCATAACTTTTCACAAATTCTACAAAAAGGTGATCCTAATTTGGGCATTGAAATTGTTTAATTATGTTGTTCATGTTCAAGTAAATACCCTACAATTTGAAGAGGTGCTAAGCCAAACCTCTAGTTAAAGGCATAAAAGAAAATAAGTTATCTAGTTTGTAGACGGGAATGATAGCATCACGGTTAAAGAACTACACTTTATGTGACTTAACCATAATCCTCGTGATCATAAACTAAAATTCCAGTAAGTTATACCAAGATGATACATATATAAAGATTGACCTGTATTTTGTGGGAGACATAATGCACAATTTACAAAAGGAAATTAGACACATCCCAACTTAAATATGGTAAGAACTCAAATATGTTACCTAAAGCCTATCAGTTGATCGTTAGATAAACTTCCTCTTCTGTTTGAAGGGTCTGCGTGTTAAGAAGTTATACAATGAGTCAAGTAATTCCCGCTCAAAATGAGACTTCTAGATCTTGTCTAGCTCAATTCGTTTCCATACTGAGATTAATAATTGTTTGAACTATCTACATTTAATTATGCACTAAGAGTACGTTTGATTACCAATATTTTCTATTGAAAAAGTCAGTTTTTATCAAAATTCTTACTTTTGTATTATTTGATTAATTTTTTTTCATGGAAAATTTTTTCCTACTTTTTGGTTATTTGACCGTATTTTCCTTGTTTTCAAGGAAAATAATTTTTTTTAGAGGGAGTAAGTTTTTATTTTTCAAATAATTTACTTCCTATTTCTCTGTCATTTACCCCTTCTTTCTCCCATCTACCTGTTAATAAAAAATAGACAATTATAACATTTCTAAATTGAAAATAAAATCAATCAAATACGTTTAATTGACAATTTCCTTACAATAATTTCTAGGCAATTTAATTCTTTAGAATTTATTTTTCTATGTAAATTTCGTGCTGCCAGTCAAACACACTCTAAAACTATAAGCTCACACTAGTTTATCTCAATCTCAGAACTTGATTTACCCTCATCTCCAAAATCAGTTTGAATTCCGGTTGCACCATGGCCGAGTCCAAACGCTTTAATGTGGTCTCTCAGAGACCTTTTGTGCTTGAAATCAGAGCCACATATGCAGTACCAAATCTTACCACAATTCTTCTCATGTGTTCTCCAATCACCCTTCACAGCAAATGTTTTCCTACATTTTCTGCAGACGAAGGGTTTGGTTCCATGCTTTCTCTTGTAATGTGTTTGGAGGGTTCTGAAATCTTTGAGAGGTCTTGCTCTACGATGATCAATATTGTACTCGCATCCCTGTGCACAGCAATAGCATGGTAGTCTTAGCATTGCGTTTGGTTGGGCTCTTCTTAATGATTCAGTACCTTTTCTGTATTGGGATCCATGTGCCCACGTATGCATCTGAAAACATTTTACAAGGTTAAGGAAAAAAGATTCAAATCATGTATGTTTAACCAATCCATCTATAATTACGTCTTCGATAAGCCCCTCACGTGCAAGTCATTCATTTATCATCACCAGAACACAAATTTTTTTTACTTCAATTGTGCCTTCAACTTTGTTTACATGACTTCTTTTCAAATTTGAATTTATCGAAATGCAGGCCTGTTCATCTTACATTCAGACAAAAAGATAATTGTCTGTGCTGAGACATGCAGTTTACTGTCTACTATTGCACACACAAACATGAAAAAGGGTTAAACCACTTCGCCAGAAGAATAATGTCGAAAGCAATGCAAGAATCCTAGGTGGCAGGAGGAAATTTGATGGAAAAGATGATTGTATTTAAAGAGTCTAATGATAGAGTATCACGTGACATTATATAAACCATCATGTCAATTATTTTGGAACTATAGCATAGTTCCATGAAAAAACACGCTCATATTCATGACAAGGAGGGAAAAGGGACCGCCGATGGAGGGGTTGAGAAATAAAAGCACTTGTAGAATAATTAATGCAGTAAAAACACAACTGCCTCATAGCTGTTCACGTTTGTACTTTTTCGAAATAAAATAGTCTTGAAATTGTGCATCACCTATGGGAAAATTAGCAATCATCTAATGTATACAGTGGATATTATTTTAATTTTTGCAATTCAGAAGGGATGAAAAAACATCTGTTTCAATAGAACTCTGCTATGTTGACAGGCTTTTTTGACAGATTTTTGAACGGGGAGCCACATGGAGCCACCCTATGTGGCTCCCTGTCCAAAAATCTGTCAAAAAAACCCGTTTGAATGGCTTTTTCCAGTTTAATATACGGCATATTGTCAGTTCCACCTAGCAACATGCAGGTACAAACTTCAGAACTTTTGAACAATCTCCCTTTTCCCCTCTATTAAGGATACATTTAACAATTCGGCCTTAACTAAAGAAAATCAATATATAAGAGCTTGAACTATTCCTCTTAACAAGATTAACCTTTTAACATGAAACATTAAATCTAAATACTTCAAACACCTCAGTAAGAAAAGAAAAACAAGCTCCAAAAATCACAAAATAAGAAACAAGTGGGAGTGGACTAATAAGAAAATAAGGAAAGGACAAAAATGGCCATGCTCAGAACAAGAGAAAGATAGGAACTAGGACATAATCAATGCCTTCAAATTTTCCACTTTGCAGCGCTAGAAGTCATAACTTGGTTAATTGTATCCAGATTTTCATTCACCATTCATTCACAGTGATCTTTCTCAGTACGAGTTTATGTTTGGATTTCCAAAAAAGGAAAAAACAATGAAGTCCCAGAATGCTAGTCACAATGATAAACAAATCCAAGAGGAACAAAAATACCTAATTAAGCCTGAATCTCTTATAAATTTGTAGTCAGCTAAAAGACATTACTGCCACTTTGTCTGGCCCAAAGCTAATGCAAAATCTACAAATGGTGCACTTAATAATATGGAATCGAGAGGTTATAAAGGTTTCACGAACTCCAATTTCAGAGAAAATTGAAAGTAGTTGGGTTCAGGTTTTAATTGCTAAGAAAATAACTTAGGAAGTGATTTGGTCCAAACATGTTTTGTGGAGGGAACAAAGTTCTCATGTCCTGACTTCAAAAACAAGTAAAAAAGAATTTAACAAGTTCTCATGATGTAACGTCCCAGTGGAAAATTATGTCGGTAGACAAATACATACAATTTAGTTATCAAAATCAAAATAAATAAATAAATAAGTAAGTAAAATGAAAGTAGGAAAGCGTGTAATAAAGTAATTTTGAAACTTATTCATAGCCTCATTTCTCACCACAGAAGTAGTTTTGAAATTATTCATGAGAGCTCTCCCAGTGATTCATGAAAATTTTATCTGATGGCGCTTTTTTGCTCCATTTCCTTAAACAGATAAATAAAAAGCCTGGTGACAAAATTAAAATTAGGGTCTCAGACAATAATAGTGATAAAATTTTATTTACATTTACCTGCAGGTTATTGAATCTGTTAAAAGTCTTGGAACAAAGACGACATGAAAACTGTGTTGGTCCCATAAGAATTTGAGTGAGTGTTGGAATCCAATATTGACCCTTGTTTATGCTGTTCAAGGGCAACCCTGAGAATATATCTACCCCAGATGACGAAATCTGGGTGACCAAATCAGAATTAGGGCTAGGTAGCCCTATATTTAAGTCTGTAGTGACACTTTCAGTTTCATCGGAGCCAGTGCAGAGGTTATTAAGAAGAGGAAGAGCTTCTTGTGGAGGAGGTGAAGTGGGAATTTGCTGGGAAACTGTATGGCTTATGGCTTGGCTTAAGTTATGAGCATGATGTGAATAAGAAGTGTTTGATGAAGAAGAATACGGTGAATGGAGAGGAATGAAGTTGAACCATCTTTCTGAGAAATTGAAGTATTGTTCTGTCATGGTTAATAGAGTTCAGAGAAAAAAGAGAAATTACTCGAGTTGATGGTTTGAAATTGTTAATGGTACTCTAGATTAGTTGACGCAGTCTTGTGACTTTCTGTACCGTATACACATACATACAGAAAGAGGATTGTGGGCGTGATGGGTTGGGTGGGGCGAGGAGAGGAGAGGAGAGGGAAAGGAATGAAGATGGTAAGTAGAAGTGATAATTTATGAAGGAAAATTCTACTTGTACATAATTATTGCACATAATGATGCCCATAATGTGATGTGACAATCATTCGATTGTTGATGTGCAAGTATGAGATTTGAATTAAAGGTTGGATCCAGTGCCACGTGTAATTATAGACACCATTATGTAGACAATTATGTACATGTAGCATTTCCCATTTATGAAAGTGACAGAAAAAGTCTTTAATTTAAGTAATGAAAATCAAAAAATTTAGAGTGCATTTGGTTTGTTATTTTAAGGTTATTTCCAAACACTCAAAACGTGTTTGGTATATTATTTTCAAAAATGCGGTTCTGAGAATAAGGAAAATTTAATAACACAAAACTCAAAATAACTTTTTGATATTTTGAAAAAAATCAAAAAACACAAAACAAGGAAAATGAGTTTAAAAATTTTTCAAATTAAAATAATTAATAAAATCACACAAAATGACCCAAATACATAACCTCTCTCTCTCTCTCTCTCTCTCTCTCTCTCTCTCTCATGCTACTCCAAAATGTCATAAAACTATTTCTAAAGTTTTTAAACCAAATGTGTTAGCTGATTTTTGTTTTGAGAAACAATCTTACAGAATGACAAACCAAACACTTCTTCTGCAACTTTAAAATAATCCCTCAAAACAGAAAATGAATTCAAAACTAAAAATCGAAAACGTAAATGCAAACCAAACACACCCTTACCTTTTTTGGTTTCATTTTATTTATCTAAAACTTGACTTTTTTAAAATCAAATAACTAAGTTAACTGTATATTTATTGAAAGTCAAACTAATTCATTGCACAAAACGAAAAAAGAAGAAGAAGAAGAAGAAGAAGAAGATATTTTTCCGAATTAAACTACTTTGTCTGAAATTTTTGATATAATAGTTGACATCCTCTCACATACGCGTATGTCCCAAGTGAACAAAAAAAATCCAAAAAAGAAGTTGGTCCCATCCCATTGTGAGTGTCGATTAACCATTATGTCAAAAATAAAATTCGGACGTGCTATTGTATTTTTCCTATCCGAAAGTCTTACCAAATGTTTCCTAGATTTTGCAGCATGCTTTGGAGGTTGTGTTTATGGTTTCTTTTATGCATCCTCATTAACTTAGTAACTGCGATTTGGAAATGCAATAATCAAGAATTTAATTGACAATCCAGTCAAAGACTCAAACTTTCTTCCAATTAAGCTCATGTTTGGTTGAGCTAAAACATAAATTACAATATATGCAAAATTAATGATTAATTTCAATCGTATATTTAATAGAATCCACAATTTTTCAATTATATGTTCATTAACTTCTATAAAAATCAATCTAAATATCTGAATTTTATATGAACAAGAAAGGGATAAATATTTCTCATCGAACTGATTTCAAGACCAATAAATAACTCAACAAAAATCTTTCATCCAAAATTAGGGTTTTGAATAAAGTGCACTTTTAAAAAAGAATAATGGTAAAGTAAGATCTCTATAAAATGTAATGTTGAATCAATAAAATTATTACTTTAACAGGTTACTAATTTATCAATAAAAAAATAATTTATTAATTTATCAATAGATTATTGAAGTCATCAACGCTACAAAAATGTGATAGAAGTGGAGCACCTCCTGAATTGTAATTAAATTTTTGACTGGGAGTAGGTGTTACAATATAATGTGTAAATAATATTCATTATGTATTAATGAAAGAGACATAAAACTTTCAAGATGTGAAATGCTTCATGTAAGTTCAAAGTTCATTTATTTAAGTTGTCGGTGATATTTTTTTTGTTTTATATACATTGTTAAGATTAAGAGTTTTAAAGTTGAGGTTCATAGATATTTCATTTGTTGGCTAATATAAATTAACTCACAACTCATAAATAAAAGCAAGAACAACTTTTATATGCACAAATGAATTGACATATCATTTATTAACGCCATTTACATGATGATCATCATCAGTAATTACAAATAACATTATTTAATTTACTAAGTCATTTATCACATATATGATTGGTCTATCGCATTCTTACAAATTTACTATGTACAAATTTCAGTGAAACTAAATAATGATGATGATGATGATGTGAAACTAAATTGGCTATGAGATCCATTGAGATGCTAATAAGTTATTTCTCAAAATGAAAGCGTATCAATTAATGAGTAGTTGCACATTAAGCTCCTACTTGATAAGAATTAAAATATAAATTTTTAATTTTAAGTTAAAGTCAATGCTTAATTTTAATTACATATTTTATGAGATTCATAACATTTTAACTATATATTTTATCAACTTTTATTAAAATTAACTAAAAATTTAGTATTATGCTACCAAATAGGAGCTAATAATGAAAAATAAACATATGAGTATTTTATTTGCTCCACCGTGCGTTGGACGACATCCTAGTACAAGTCGATCGAGAACTTGAGGTCTTGTTTTACTCAAATAATCTTGGAAATTAAGTTTGAATGAGAGGACCCTCCTTCGTGCAACTTGGTTGACTGCATATCTATAATTCTGTCTAATTATCGGTCAAATATTTTCATTTTAATGAGAATCAGACATGGGGTAAATTGGATAACACCACTTCAATTTAATTTCAATCAAGTAACTTGATTTTGATTTGATTTCAATTAGGATAAACTCAACCAATTCCATTGACAAAAATTAATAAGTGTCAGTCAATAATGATGTTCATCACACATAATGATTAGAGACTAATATGAAATAAATACAACTTTAGGGAAATAGACGATAACCATCATTATTTTTGACAATCACGTCATCGATTCCAGCTCAATATGAGACTTCTAGATCTTATCTAGCTCAATATGTTAGTTTCCCTAAGTTAGTTTCCATACCGTGATAAATGATTGTTTGAACTAATTACAGTTAATTATGCACTAAAATTATAAGCTCATATTATTTGACCTCAATCTCAGAACTTGATTCATCCTCTTCTTCAAAATCAGTTTGAATTCTGGTTGCTCCATGGCTGAGTCCAAACGCTTTAATGTGATCTTTAAGAGACCTTCTGTGCTTGAAATCAGAGCCACATATGCAGTACCAAATCTTACCACAATTCTTCTCATGTGTTCTCCAGTCACCCTTCACAGCAAATGTCTTCCCACATTTTCTGCAGATGAAGGGTTTGGTGTTTGGAGGGTTTTAAAATCTTTGAGAGGTCATGCTCTAGGATGATCAGCATCGTACCCACATCCCTGTGCACAGCAATAGCATGGCATCCTTAGCATTGCACTTCGGTGGGTTCCTCTCCAAGATTCAGTTCCTTTTCTGTATTGGGATCCATGTGCCCACATATGCGTCTGAAAACATTTTACAAGGTTAAGGAAAAGAGATTTAAATCATGTAATTTTTAACCAATCCATCTAAAATTACATCTTCGATAAGACCCTCACGTGCAAGTCATTCATTTATCATCAACAGAACACAATTTATTTACTTAAATTGTGCCTTCAACTTTATTTACACGACTTCTTTTCAAATTTGAATTTATCGTAATGCAGGCCTGTTCATCTTACATTCAGACAAAAAGATAATTGTCTGTGCTGAGACATGCAGTTTATTGCCAAGTATTGCACACACAAACATGAAAAAGGGTTAAACCACTTCGCTAGAAGAATAATGTTGAAAACAATGCAAGAATCGTAGGTGGCGGGAGGTAATTTGATGGAAAAGATGATTGTATTTTATACAGTACAATAATAAAGTATCATGTGACATTATGTCAACCATCATGTCAATTATTTTGGCACTCAGCATGGCTCCATGAAAAAACACGCTCATATTCATGACAAGGAGGGAAAAGGGACGGCCGAGGGAGGGGTTGAGAAATAAAAGCACTTGTAGAATAATTAATGTAGTAAAAACACAACTGCCTCATAGCTGTCCACGTTTGTACTTTTTCTAAATAAAAAAAGGGCATCACCTATGGGAAAATTAGCAATCATCTAATGTATACAGTGGATATTATTTAAATTTTTGCAGTTCAGAAAGGATGAAAAAACATCTGATTTAATATACGGCATATTGTCAGTTCCACCTAGCAGCAAGCTAGTTCAAACTTCAGAACTTTTGAACAATCTCCCCTTCCCTCTGTTAAGGATACATTTAACAAATTCGACCTTAATTAAAGAAAATCAACTTATAAGAGCTTGAATTATTCCTCTTAACAAGATTAACATTTTAACATGAAACCTTAAATCTACATACTTCCAACACCTCAGTAAGAAAAGAAAAACAAGCCCAAAAATCACAAAATAAGAAACAAGTGGGACTGGACTAATAAGAAAATAAGGAAAGGAAAAAAAGGGCCATGCTCAGAACAAGAGAAAGATAGGAACTAGGTGATAAGTGTAGTTTCTACACTTATTTGAGATCTTAAATGATGATATTTTGTTATTCTTCAAACGGATTAGTACCTAATTTGTTATTTATTGCTTTTATTAGGAAAAGTTCATGTTTCAAAAAAGAATTGGAAAAAAGAACAGAAAATGGCTAAATGAAGCAAATCCAAAGTATGGGGACCAAAGTGTAAATATTTAATGGTTGATTTGGATGACAAAAGATACTTTGAAGATTGATAGGAGTCAATTGAATGCAAATTGGAGTAAAAAAGGAAAGGGTTATGATTAGAATATTACCATAAATCGACTTTCAATCATATAGGATATTTTCAAGATTTTTGGTCAACTTTAGACCCATTTTTCGAATGGAGAATGTTTGAAGAAAAATTGTATTTCTAGAAGAATTGTAGATCTTTTAATTAGTTTTCCAATGCACTTCGAATCACCTGAATCGAACACCGAAAGAGAAAGTTATGATCAAAATACTGAAGGCTGTGCAGAGACAAAATTATGTGCGCGCGAAAGTAACTTTCCTTATTTGATTCAAACTCTTTTGGAAGACAATTTGGACGTGAATTTTGATATAATTTCATCATAT